CTGGGCTTAAGTAGCTGGAGAGCCAAACAGGCTTTTAAAGATCTAGTTCACCCATTAGTCAAACCTAAGCCTGAGATCTTGCAACTGGTGTTAGAACAGCTGACTGAGTGCACAATTCCAGGTACAGGGAGCAGGAGGGTGAGATGGAAGCAGAGACTCCTTTGATCGTCTGGGCCTGGCTGAATTGGCCGTGGCCTGCTCCACTAGAGGAAAAGGGACCACCTAAGGGAAAAGACTTAGCTGCTCAAAGGTAACTACTTCTTATCTAAGGGGAAGAGGAGAGGAAAGGACAATATCTATGTGCATTCTTAATACAGACCAGTTAGGAAAATGTCTAGAAAACAGAGCCCCATCAGATGTCACACAACCCAACCAATAAAAGCAGCCCTCCATCCCTGATTCAACATGGCAGTAGCGGGTAGGAAAAGAATTGTAACTGGACATCTGAATGTCTCTGTTGACAGCTACAGCTGTTTCCTCATCAAGGTGGTATGTCTGTGGACATTGTAAAGATGGCCATAGCATATTAGTTCTTCTAACAGTGAGTTCTGACATTTATTTTTATTATATTAATTAATAATTAATAATTTGTGATTATTTTATAATTATAAGTAGAATATTATATTCATTCATACTTACTAATTCCATTTTATATTTATATAGTACATACATTATATATTAAAACATTTTATATAGTAGTTACTGGTTTTTTATCCTTCTTACCAAGTCTAGTAATCAGGGGAAGAAGATAAGAAACCGTCGTTTTCATTTATTAGACATTGAAGAAACAAGGATACCTTTGTGTGAACTATTTGGACTCAGTTTGGAGGATAAAAAAGTCTGTTAAAGTAATAATTTTAAATATAATGTGTATTCATGGAATTAAAATATTTAAAATGTATGTTATTTAAGAACAAGTTGGCATCTGCCATTTGGTTCAGATACACACTTTTCACCACTTTTTTCTGTCTTCTGTTCTTGATTCTACAGTGTGAGACACACATTGAGCTCTTTTTAAGCAAGGGTTAGTGGGATAGAACACAGTCCCATGCTATGAGATGTGGTCATTTAGCTCTCAAGTACATATTTTAACCAGTGGTATGTTCATTAAGATCTGTTTTTAATAACAGTGCATTGCACGTTATAATGACTGGAATGGACTTTCTTTTTAATTCGTTGACCTTGAAATTTTAATTTGTTAATATAGAGTTATATTTACAGTAGAGAGTAGAGACAAATTACATTGTGCTTTTCAGTCTTTCCTGGAAGGAATGAAATCAATTTCAGCTATAAACAATTGCATTGCTCTCATATAGTGATACTTGTATAACATTGTTTTGGTTGTTGGAAGGACATGACTAATGTCCTTGTATTTGTTTGGCCTCTCTCTTCACAAGAAGCTCCTTTGATTGGCTTAGCAGTAGCCTCAGCCCCCTCCAAAGTTAATACACAGATGTCCACCTTCCATAGCTTACTTCGAATTTAGACTGTTGTGTCAACTAGACTACTTTTGTTTTATAGCAGTAAATATGTTATTATTTATGGTACCTTTTAAAGCATCAATATTTTATAAGTTTTGAAAAATAAAAATGTATAACAATTTGATTTTCTGAATTTAATTGAAATGGTTGAAACCACTATGGGAAATCTCGATATATTTGGCATGTATCCTTTTAAAAAAATTATTGATGAATAATACAGAGAAAGGTACAGAAAATGTACACATGTAGCTCAGTAAATTATGATGAATGATCATGGAGTGGAAACTTCTAACCCCTTAACAGGTCTAGAAATAGAACATCCCTGCACTTTAGAAGCCATTCTTCCACACTCTCCACCCACCTGAAGGTAAACAGTATCCTGACTGTCCTAACACTGAAGTTGACTTTTGTCTGTTAATGAACTTTATATAAATGTTAATGAACATTATATTCTTTAGTGCCAGCGTCCTTCTTTGTTTAGTTTATTTTTATTTTTATTTTTTTCTGATGAACTTCCCATTTTCTTTATTACATATTTTTTATTTCGATAGCTTTTGGGGGTACAAGTGGTTTTTTGTTACATGGATGATGTGTATAGTGGTAAAGTCTGAGATTTTAGCACACCTGTGACACCAGTAGTGTATATTGTACCCATTGTGTAGTTTTTTATCCTTTATTCTCTCCCACTGCCTCCCCTGCCCCCTGCTGCCTTTGAGTCTCTAAAGACCTTTCTACCAATCTGGGTGTATGCCCTCACCTACCCATAGCTCAGCTCTCAGTTGTAAATGAGAACATATGGTATGTGATTTTCCATTCCTGAGTTACTTCACCTGGAATAATGGCCTCTAGCTCCATCCAGATTGTTTCAAAAGAAATTCTTTCATTCTTTGTTATGTGTGCCAGGATTCTTCTATCCATTATTATGTTTGTGAGATTTTTTATGTTGTAGTTTGTTCATTTTCATAGCTGTTTATTATTTCATTATATGAATTATTTGTCCATTCTGCTGTTCATAGGTATTGGTTATTTCCAGTTTTTAAGTGAATATTGCTGCTATGATTCTTTGAGTACATGGCACTTATGCACACATGATTGTCTCATACATTCCAAGGAAAGGGATTGCTGGATTATACGGTAAGAATTTATGCGTGTACCTGATGCCTGACTGTTTTCCAAAGAGGTAGTGCCAGCTTGTGCTCACGTTGAAAGTTCCCGTTGGCCCAAATCCTCATCAACATTTATCACTGTCAGACATCTTAATTTCAGACACTCTAGTGGATGTTTAATGATAACTCATTTTGGTTTTAATTTGCACTGCACTCTAAAAGATGTTTATGGACAGTTAGTTAAAAGAGAATAGAAAAAACGTATCATATTAAGAAAGTATAATTCAAAACACGTGATTTTTACTTTGAATAGGTAAGAAGTGCGTAAGACCTGAGAAAATGCTGGAAGTAATTATGTTAAAATGTTGACATGGGTTAGATTTGAATAGTTTGGATATAGTAAATGGCTACTTTTAAAAAATAATCACTTGAATTTTTCATTCATGGAATATGAAGTTTTTTTTAATACTCAGACATGAATAGAAAATAAATATAAGAAACTTATTTACAAAAATCTCTTGAAGTAATGTTTCATCATTAAGGCAAATATTTCTTTTTCCTTCTCTGTCTTCAGAAAATTCAGCCTTAGCCCTTCAATTCTTCATATAAGAAAATACTCATCACCTTAGCATTAATGTGTAATTCTAGCACTCACCTTTAGTGGCTGCTTCCATTCAAATCATATTTACTGGTTCATAGTCCATATTTTTCATGACCCAGATGCTTTTGGGAACATTCTGTGAATGCTTTTTGGCTGTGTCACTCATTAGGTCACATCCACGCATACACACTTCTTTTGAGTGTAGCCTTTCCCCTCATTTGACTGTAGGCTGTTTTAGAGAAGGGGCTGTGAGACCGTGTATCATGCTCCTTGAAATCTCTCTCAAGTGCAGAAATCATAGTGGATTCTTAGGAAATGAATTTGCAAAAAGTGTTGGATTAGTCCATTTTTGCGCTGCTGATAAAGACATGTCTGAGACTGGGCAATTTATAAAAGAAAGAAGTTTAGTGGACTTACAGTTCCACATGGCTGGGAGGCTTCACAATCATGGTGGAAGGTGAAAGCCACGTTTCACATGGCGGCAGACAAGAAAAGAGAGCCCTTGTAGGGAAACTCCCCTCTATAAAACCATCAGATCTCCTGAGACTCATTCACCATCAGAACAGACCCGCTCCCATGATTCAACCATCTCCCACAGGGTCCCTTCCACAACACATGGGAATTCAAGATGAGATCTGGATAGAGACAAAGCCAAACCATATCAAATGTATATCCAATGAAGACATCATTGAAATGTTCATCTGTGTGGTTATACGTGTAGTTTTTAAAAATTAAAATCCAAAATGGTAAATTTATAAAAAGCATACACCAATTAAAAATTCATGGAAAAGTATTTCATAGCTACAAGATGATAAAAACAGGATTGGAAATGGAATCATTTTATCAAGGAGGGGCCTGGGGGGCTAATGGAGTGGATATAAGTACAGAGGTGCGGGTAGGATTAAGGAGACGAACAAGTAATAGTAAAGCACCTAGTACAGTTGAATTTGGAGTGAAAAAGTGATTCAGTGAGGGCTGCAGCAGTAGAGGAGGGGCTCATCCGCCAGGAGCAGTGACCTTGGGGGAGCAATGCCATACTGCAGAGCCACAGCTAGCGAGAGCGAAAAGGGGACTTGTTTTCCCCTACTGCCAACTCCTGCCGTGCTTCCCTTAAGTGGAAACTGGAAGGAAGGTGAGCCAGCTGATTCAGACCTTAAAGACCACCTCCACCCTCCACAGGCCGTGGCCCTGGGGAGGTGGAAGAGCAAATGGAAAATAACCACCATAACCATCGGCACCTTTCAGGGTCACGTGGTGTTTCTAGGGCAGAGGTTATCCAGAAGCTTACTTTGCATAGAGGAATAAACAAAATGTAGGATTGTGCAAATTGATGACAGTGTCTACTGTTTCACTCTGAACATTTTAGATATTTGTTTTCTTTAGAGTATGGAAAGGAAAAAATACATAGATATTTATAATAATATAAATATGTGTATTTGAGGCAAGGTTTCACTCTGTTGCCCAGGCTGGAGTACAGTGGTGCAATCATGGCCCGTTGCAGCCTCAATCTCTCAGGCTCAAGCAATCCTCCTGCCTCAGCCTCCCAAGTAGCTGGGACTATAGGTGTGTGCCACCATGCCAGTCTAATTTTTTTATTTTTTATTTTTCTAGAGATGGGGTCTCCCCATGTTGTTCAGATTGATCTTGAACTCCTGGGCTTGAGTGATCCTCCAGTTTAGCCTCCCAAAGTGCTGGGATTACAGGCAGGAGCCACTGCCCTGGGGCAAAAGCAAACTTTTTAATTAAAAATTTTGATTTATTAAAACTGTCTATTGAATAATTAATTGGTTAAAATGCATTAAAAGGGATAACTATCTTCTGTTCTCTATTAGACCACCGCTCAAGAAGGATGTCTACTTGTTATATAAAAAAATCAAACAAAAAATAAGCTTATGTAAAAAACCAACGTATTTCAGTCTTCTAGTAGTTGGAGCCATCATTCAGAGATGGGGGAGATATGTGTACAGTGTCCCAAGCAAATTGTAATAATCTGGCATATAAACCTTGTTTAATGCTCTCATAATGGGTAATGCAAATGATTAAACACTGTGATTTTAATCTTGCCATTTTAGCAACCCAGTAAGATAGATGAAAAGGCAGTAATGCATTAGATTATATAATAACATTTCATTCTAACTAAGAAGTCCAGTTATTCTCTGCAACCTGTTTTTATTTTTAAGGTTATTGTAGTATATTGTTAAAAATGCTGTGATAAGAATCCTCTACTCTTTTCATTGTAATCTATTTTCATGACCATATAAAAATTATTTGGAAGTCAAGTTATCTACACAAACAGAAACAACGTTATATTGTTTTATTGTCTTTTGGTAGAAGATCGAAACAATTCCTGCCTTCTATTAGAAATTGTATTTCACATACAGTTGTCCAATTTCCACTGGGCAATATGGAAACAAAATGCCAGTGACTCATTAGGTCTTCACCGTCTTGGAAGACAAATGGGTAGAAACAGCGTAAGGGGCCTTCCTTATCCCTGAGTGGACACAGAGGCCTTGCATACAGGAGCCAGGATGCAGAGATAATGGAGCAAGGCGCCTCTTCCCAGCCATGCCCTGCAGCCCCGACAACCCTCTATAGTTTGGGAATCTCTGGTGCCCAGAGAGTAGTTTGTCAGATTTAGTTTTGAGGGCCACTGGTATATTTCTATACTCTTTTGCTGCAACTTAAGTAGCATGGAATGTCTGCTCTTGGACCAGTTCTGAATGTCATTGTTTTTCTCAGAATGTTTGTGTGTTGTTTTGGTTCTTCTCTCCATGGTTTGTGTTTATCTCCAATGACTGAGCCACAGACAGTCCCAGGACAGAGAGAAGGTGGACAGCCACAATGACGGAAAGCAGCGATCTTCAGTTCATTTCTGTGTGTATCTACTAAAAATGTACATCAAGGAGACACCTATAATTTTTTCCTGGCACTACTTTTAATCCTTAAATGAAGGTTTTTAACAAGCTTGACAAATATTTACCAGGCCAAGTTTATGGTCGTTTGTAGGAAAATATATGTCATTTATATGGGAAATTTTGTGGCTGCCTTCTCCATACCTCCCCTGTCCTTTTCCTTCAGTGGAATTCAGCTCTCCTCTGAATAATAATCCTGAGTGTCCCCCACACAGCACTGAACACACGTCTGCCTGTTAAATTTAAGGAGCTTAACCTCCCAGATTTGCTTTCAAGTTAAAAGCACAATAACTGGGCCAGGTGCAGTGTCTCATGCCTGTAATCCCAGCCCTTTGGGAGACCGAGGTGGGTTGGATCATCTGAGGTCAGGAGTTTGAGACCAGCCTGATCAACATGGTGAAATCCCATCTCTACTAAAAAGACAAAAAATTAGCCAGGCATGGTGGCACATGTCTGTAAGCCCAGCTACTTGGGAGGCTGAGGCAGGAGAATTGCTTGAATCTAGGAGGTGGAGGTTGCAGTGAGCCGAGATCATGCCATTGCACTCCAGCCTGGGCAACGAGCAAAATTCCGTCTCAAAAACAAAACAAAACCCCACAATAACTGACAAATGATCTAGCTGCCAAGAATTTGAAGGTGGCTCTGTTAGGTAGGGTTAAAAGCACCTTTATTTAAAGACAGTTTACATCTGTCAGGAGACTGTTTGGCTATTGTAGTTCAAGTTTGGGTGCTCAGCTTTGTTTGCTTAGAAACTCATTTTTGTGACACTTCAGCACTAGAGAAATACGTTAACCCAGCTCACAAGAGCCTGATGTGGAAACAGAATTAATAAGTGACCAAACTTCAGTGAGAAACTGAATACCAGCCACTGCTCTGCTAGGGAGCAAATTGCCATTTGGACTTTTTTTTTTTCCTGAGTTTAGAGTCAGAAGAAAAGAAGTGTTCTTGGCTGGTTCTGCAAGATCATCAATAACCACAGCACTTAGGCACACTGTGTTCCTGCCTTTACACACAGGATTCCAGCCCTCACAGCAGCCCCTGGAGGGAGCTGTGATTATTTCAATTTTGTGTATAAGGAAACTGATGCTTGAGATGCTTGAATGAGGGAATAAGTGCGGAAACCTGAATTCAAATCCCATTCCTTCAAAGCCCTTGCATTTGATTACTGAGTTCATTTTTTTAACCACCTTGTGTGACTTCATGATTTAGCTAAGGGAGGTCCTGGAAAATTCAAGGAGGTGCCTCCAAGGTGCTGTCAGGGAGGGGAGCAAAGCCAACTAGTGTGATCGGATTTGCTACGGAAAGGGGATTTCTCTACACAAAAAGCCTGCACACAGACAGATGTTTATAGCAGCTTTCTTCATAATTGCCAAAACTTGGAAGCAACCAAACTTTCCTTCAGTAAGTGAATGACTAAATAAGCTATTCCATGCAATGGAATATTATTCAGTACTGAAAGGAAATGAGCTTTGAAAAGATATGGAGGGAACTTAAATGCATAGTACAATCAAAAGGGGCCAATCTGTAAAGTCTACATTCTGTATGACATTCTGGAAAAGGCAAAACGATGGTAAGGGTAAAAAGATCAGTGGTTTCCTGGGGTTAGGGGCTGGGAAAAGGAAGAAGGGAAGAATTGGTGAAAGCGGATTTTTAGGACAGTGAGACTCCTCAATATGAGACTGTATACATTTGCCCAAACCCATAGAAAGGATAAGACCAAGAGTGAACCCTAAACTGTGGACTTTGGATGACGATGATGTGTCAATGTAGGCTCATTACTCGTAACAAATGTAGCACTCTGGTGGGAGATGTTGATAATGGCAGGAGGCTATTTATATGTGCAGGCAGGGTACATGGGAAATCCCTGTCCTACAGCTCAATTTTGCTATGAATTTAAATTGCTGTAAACAAAGTCTTAACAAAAATAATGTCTTAATATTTCAATATTTGAAATCACATAGTATGCTGCATTTGCTACCTCTACTATGCATGTATGTATGTTTATATGTGTGCATATAACTATATGCATTTACACATATGTATATAAATATGTTTCTGTATATGTGTATTACTGGTGGAGTATGTTAGCACAGTGTGTGATGTGTATGCCACATGTGATTTTACATATATGGATGTATGTGTATATTTATATACATGTGTGCATATGTGTTGAGACTTCAGTATATACTAGGCTCAGTACATGAGACTTTATTCATTTCAATTTCCCAAGACTCCCACAGTGTTGTTGTCTTCCCCATTGGACCTTTAAGGACAAGGAGAAGATGGGTATGAAGGCTGAGGTCCACCCACATTGGGTCCCACTGCTTGGATTCACCTGTATCTAGAATTTCTGGTGACCCCCTTATGACTGCCTGATACATCTGTATCTAGAATTCCTGATGACCCCTTGCTGCATAACTTTTATTAAACACTTTTCTCTTCCTATACTGGGAGCAGATGGCCTTTGATTACTAGATAGTTTGTTTCTTTACAGCAGTTGATTAACTTCCAGCTTTCTTATTTGCATTCCTGTCTAAAAACATGTCTAGGCACCCTGTTTGGAAATAGGTGATCTCATATCTCCTCAGCTGCATCTCTCTGGAAGGGACACATTTGAACGAGACCTTCATGATAGTTGGCTGAAGTTTCCTGACTTTATCATCAAATCCTGGAGGAACTCTCCTTTCCACTGTTGCTTCTTAGCAGTGTGTAAAAGAACCATAGAGCCCTGTGCCTCTGCCAGGGAAGATATGACCAGGTCATGGAGACTCACTTGTGGGAAGCTGGTTTAGTAGATACCTTCAGTGTCCTGGTAGGATGGGCATGAATCCAAGTGGCATCAGACTTGATAGACTTTCTTGTAAGGAGAAAACAGCCTCATAGGCTTTCTTTGGGGTTAATGAAAGCCTCCATAATTTTTATGTTTTTCTAGATGCTGATTAGCTTTCCTGTGTATAATTCTTCAAAATAAAATTAGGACCTCTAGGGTTATTCTTACTACTCATCTCAACTCCAGAATTTTAGAGAAATAATGGTTCCAATCTTTGAGTAAATCAAGAAAAGCCATTATGAAATGCCATTGCCCACCCTGTTGTTTAGTTCATATTGCTCAGACCGAGTTATTCCTGGATCACAAAAGCTGGCCCAGGAGGCATCATCTCCTGGCTTTCTGAAATGGCTTTTCTGCATCCTGGGACACCAGTCCCTCAGTGGAAATCTATAAATAAGTGAAGAATGAATGAATGAACGGATTAGAGCATCCCCTGTACTTTCTAAGGTAGCAAACACATCTAAATATGGTATAAGATTTTACCAATGACAGACATGTCTAACTGGAGCTTAGGGGCTGTGTTAACAAACGACAGAAAGCTAACTTGTTTTGTAGTAAAGAGCTAAAATAGGAAAGACTAATAGGTTATGAGTATTTCTATTTAAACAAGCCATTTTACTAATTTCTGATTGGGTATGAAAGCCTCAAGTTGTTTTGAAAAGAAATGGTTATTTGCTGGTGGTAATTTCTTACTCCTCCCACATGTAAATTTAGAAAACTTTGGATTTTTATTTTGCTTCCCCAAAGTAGCATCTGAGTAACAAATTTAAAAGCCTCATTTTTTTTTAAGTTCAAGATCAAAAAAGAGTCAGAAGGAGAAAGTGAGAAAACCCACCCCCACTGCCATATTTCAACTTCTTTTATTTTCTACTGAGAGAAAATTCATTATCTGATCTTTGATTTCATTTATTTCAGTGCCTGCACTGTGCACTTAGTGGAGCTGGCTTCTACCAAGATTATATTCTGACAGGGTGATGGGGGCCGAGGCTATGGGTGAGCGTTTGCTTTACAAGGAGAAAATGTTTCCCCCTCCCTTTCTTTTCACTCCTAATGCCAGTGGTGGAAGAGGAATTTGCTGTTCTCAGTTGATCTGCCTCTATCAGGGCTTCTCCTTTGTATGGCTGCACCCCCTGTGAATGAGGAAAAGGGGGAACACAAGTGTTTAACCTGTCAGAGCCAGTTCCCTGATTGTCCACAGCCAATGTTCTCTGTTAGAGAGAGAGCTAGGTGGTACCGGAGGTTATGCAGACTGGCCATTCTAGAAGTGGCAGTCCTGGGGTGTGGCTGTGGCTGTGGGGAGGCAGGTGTGAGGGGATTCTGAGGAACCTCTCTCCAAAGCAAATCAGGGTATGGTGGTAACAAGGTGTGTTTTAGAATTTATTAACCAAAAACCTACATTCTACTGTAGCTCATTATAACCAAGGCAGGGGCTTGATCAAAAACGCTCTCTTCCCTAACTTTCTAACCCAGGAGCACTTAAGTTACTACTGCTCACTGAACATGGCTCATCAGCATGTCACACGGAAAAGGGCTTGAGCAGAAAGCTGATTCCAGGTGCTGCTGCACAGAGAGGAGGAGCTGCCTTCCAAACACTCACACCCGTATCCGTAAAACTCATTTTACTTACCACTGCGAGACCCTTGGAAGTTAAACATTCATGTGCCTGGAACTATAGAGTAGACCGATTTCCCGATTCTAAACAGACTTTTGCAATGAGCCTTTTTCCTTATGGGCAGCTCTGCCGTGTGCATAGTGAGGCTTCTAGACCAGACAAATTTGAGATTGTATTATTTCGTTCTGTTGTGTTGTATTGTGTTGTTTTGTGTTGTCTTCTGTCCTGTCCTTTCCTGTCCTGTTCTTTTCCTTTCTCTTTGCTTTCCTTTCTTATTTTTAGCAACACCGTGATAATAAGAGGTAAGTTTTAAATGCCGACATCAATATTTGGGTCAGGTGGAAAATAACAATTGTAGCAACCACTTTAAGCCCAGTTGCCTGTTATCTAGAATTTCTTCTCATAGAGGAAGCCATAGGCTGACCTTTATTTCACTATTTTGGAGTGCAATGAAGTTTCTCAGAGGTCAATTTATTTGCCCAAATAATTGCACAGCGATGTTCTGCCTGCATTATATATATATCATGCTGATTTTAAGATAATCGTACTCAAATATATTTTCCTGCTATTTTTTCCACAAGACTCCTTTGAATTCACTTAAAATCTTATTTTCTTTCGCAGACGGCCTCTGCCTGTGGAGATATTTGTCTTATGCATACCCCTTGTGTCTGGTTTTCTTTGTACCCAGGCCTTCTGCCTTATCTAGTAGCCCGACCTATCCGGACCTGCCCTTCATTAGGATCTCCCCGCACCGGAACCCCGCTGCTGCTTCCGAGTCTCCCTTCAGCCCTCCGCATCCCTACATTAATCCCTACATGGACTACATCCGCTCCTTGCACAGCAGTCCGTCGCTCTCCATGATCTCAGCAACTCGTGGGCTGAGCCCTACAGACGGTAAGTCCCGGATGGATTCTGCTTCCTGAGATCACACAGCCTTCTCCCCGCTCCTCACCCGGGGCGTGTATAAAGTAGACCTGATGGTTGGCGAGTGTATTCCATGTGCCAAGCGCTGTACTTTGTGCCTTACTTGCATGACTGCATTACAGTGCTGTAACACCTCATTGGCGGTGGTGTTAATTATCTCCATTTTCAGGTCAGAATAGCAGTGTGCAGTGGATTTACTTGCAACCCAGTCATCCCATGGCTAGTAAGGGGCAGAGGTGGAATTCAAAGCAAAATCTTTCTGACCCCAAATCCCTGCTGGTAACTAGGGTTCTGTTCTGCTGCTTCACATGTGATTAGACTGGCCCTGTAGCCATTCATGCACGTGTATGTGTAACGTGAGTGTTTTACTCACTTTCTGATGAACACTTTTCTGTTCTGTGGATCTGAGAGGCACATTTATACAGATGCGTCTGTTAGAGCAGTTTCCCCAACTCTAGTGTGCCTATGAATCACCTGGGGAGCCTGATAAAAGGCGATTCTTTTTTTCCCATCAGATGGGAACAGATGGGGCCGGAGATTCTGTGCTTCTCAAAACCTGCCAGGTGATGTTAGTGCTGTGGCTACCTGGACCACATTCTGAGTGGCAAGGTCTAAGAAAACATGATGGTCCGGGGCTGTTGCATGTGCTTTCTATCCTTGGCCATGCCACATGAAAGAAGAAGAATGTACTGGGGAAGGAAATGAGCTTAGACTTGATCATACTTGATGCTCATTTTAGGCTCTCAAGGATTAAATTCCTGTTGGTTCTATTAGTCTCCCTATTACTTTTCACATGACTCTTCTTAATTGGATCTGTGTATTCTCCTGGTGCCGACTTATAAACTGGTCCTCTGATTTCACTGAGCAGTGCTTGATGCAGCTTCCATGCCCAATTCATGTTCTCTGTGTAGACTTCTTCCTGAGGCTGGGTGTGCATGGTGGGAAGCTGCATGAAGTGTCTCAGGAAATATCCACTCACTTGTGTTTTCAGAGATAGCTTTCCTTCAGCAACAGCCACATTTTTTTGATTCAGTGCAGTGAATTTGCTAAGTTAGTAATATGAATAGCTAAATAATAAGTTTTGCTCTTTGAGCAGGACTCACATTTCATTTTATTTTGAGACAGGGTCTCACCTTGTTCCCCAGGCTGGAATGCCATGGTGCAATCTCAGCTCTCTGTACACAGCCTGGACTTCCTGGGTTCAAGTCATGTTCCTGCCTCAGCCCTCTAAGTAACTGGGACCACTGGTGCACATCACCATGCCTGGCTAATTTTTAATATTTTTTGAAGAGACAGGGCTTTGCCATGTTGCCTATGTTGGTCTCAAAATCCTGAGCTCAAGCGATCTACCCGCTTCTACCTCCCAAAGTGCTGGGATTACAGGCATGAACCACTTGCCTGGCCAAGATTCACATTTAAAAAATAAAAATAAAATATAAGTTAGATTTTCTGCTTCACATTTTATTTTGCAATTGAAGAACTGGAGAATCACCTCCATCAAGTACTTGGGAGTTGGTGGAAATGACTAACAAGGAGAGTATACTGAAGGGGAGGAAGAGGTTAGCTGACCATGAACTTGGAATTTTGCCTGGCTTGTGGAAATTTATTCATGCCCATGGAAAGTCATACCACTAAACTACTGAAATCACTCTTATCATCTGCTTTCCATAGCATTTGATGATGAGTATAAATAAAACATTCTTTGACTGGTTGATTTGCCTTCCTTTTCTTGCCTCTCAAGAATCCAGTTAATACAATCAAATATAAGTAATATGACTAATATTTCTCTTGTGACGTAAGGTTTTTTTCCCTTAAATCTCTATCTTTACCATGTATCATTTATAAAAAGTGTATGAAACAAATATAAAATACCCTCAAACCTATCGCTAGATGCTGGTATTTCTAGATAATAATCGTGAAACTTTTATTGATTGAATGCTAAGTGCTAAGCATGTTGCATACATCATTTAATTTTTGCTCCTGACGACTTCATGGAGCCAGTTTAAATCCAGATCTCTGTGAGTCTGGAGGCCACCCTCAGAACTGCTACAATATCTTGCTGCTTTTGCACGAAAATTGGCAGGTAGAAACCGATTATTATCCTGTTAGAAAGCTGAGTCTTGGCAGTAAATTGCTCCAGATTGATAGGTATATTTTCTTTTTGATTTCGTAATGAAAAAAAGGAAAAGAGAGCTTTTAAATTATGGAACGCAAAATTGTAGCTTATCATTCAGTTGTGTTATTAAAGCTCTGCTGTCTTTTTTCATACTGGTAAACCCTGACTTTTCATGTGAGTGAGAGTTAACTCAGACACTCTTGTCAGAAAGCTTGCAGAAGTATTTTAAGTATGTCTGGAAAGATATCATATTCATCTAAGTTGTCTACTCTTGTAAGAAATGCAAACATACGATGATTTGATATAAGAAATGATTTTATTTGGGGAGGCAAATGTCGTTATATACATATATACATTTTAATCATTCTGATTTATTGATAACTTCTTAGACCAACATCAAAAACTTTGTAATGCATTTCACTTTTTTCTATTCTTGTCATTCAGTTTTATGTTCAAATAAAAGATGTCTAATAGACGTAAGAGCACAATTTGAGTTAAAGGAGCTTTACTCTAATAAGCCATAAAAGGAATTGCTGATGTGGGGTGTGTGATGGACTCTGAGATGCCTCAAGAGAAACTTTTAGTTGACCTTCTTTCACTAGTAACCATACATTTCTTGTCTCCTCCTAGCTCCCCATGCAGGAGTCAGCCCAGCAGAGTACTATCATCAGATGGCCCTGCTAACCGGCCAGCGCAGCCCCTATGCAGACATTATTCCCTCGGCTGCCACTGCCGGCACAGGGGCCATCCACATGGAATATCTTCATGCTATGGATAGTAAGTGACGGGGCTGTTTTCTGGAGTCTTGGGAAATGGGAAAGGCTATAGTTTATAAAACAGGAAGATACAAAGATTAGGCAATTGTGTAACTTTTCAATCTGGAGGAGAAAGTGGAACCACCACCATTTGGTGCTCTGGTTCCCTTGGTTTTCTAGAAGCTTCCACAGATTTGGACATCCTGGAGCTCCTTGTTTAGCTCAAGGATACCAGTGAACTGGCAGATGCAGACAATTGTAATTGACAGTGAGATAAAAATATTAACTGGTCAAAAAATACCAGCCCATGTGACACAGTGAGATTCATCTCTACAAAAAATTAAAAACTAGCTGGGTGTAGTGGCATGTACCTGTAGTCCCTGCTACTCAGGAGGCTGAGGCAGAAGGATCACTTGAGCCCAAGAGGTCGATGCTGCAGTGAGCCATGGTCATGCCATTGCACTCCAGCCTAGGTGACAGAGTGAGACACTGTCTCCCCTAACCAAAAAACTTTTTTCTTGATAACAAAATAAGGGAAAGGATTTGATATATGGATGGACTTCACCCTCTCATTCCTTGGTTTCATGGATTTTATGCTTTAAAAAATAATTTTAAAAAATACCTGTTTTGGTTTTACATTTTTGCCTTAAATGATTTCGTTTGACCCATATGTTTTCTTTACATTAAACAATTATATTTCACTAAGACCTTTTGTAGCTGCTGAATATATGAGAGGATCAGAATAGTTATCGATAGTTACCAAATAGCTTATTTGGAAAAAACTAAAACTTTTTTCCAAATCAGAAGGGGCTACTTTTAGTACCTAGCGATGGAATAAGATGAGTTTCCTCGATGCATGTTGTGTCACTTATTTTGGGGTCCCTTAAGTGTGTAGTGATTTCTGTGGGTTACTTATGTAGACGTATAGACAAAGAAGCCTATAATTACCTCTTGTCAGAGCATTCTAGAGCTCTCATCTCTTCAGATCCTTTAAGGACACGTCTGTTTGCAGGGCGCTCTGAAGTGAACTTAAAGCATCATCCAACTCATACAACAGCAAAAGCCACTACCTTTGAATAGGAGAACAGTATGACTTTGAGTAGGGCATTTTCTTGGAGTCTTGTTTGTTTTTCCTTGTAGCAGCGATTCACTTAGGCTTTTCCATCTACAATCTCTTTGGATTCTTCTGTGACAGAGGGTGAGCCTGTGTCAACTCTAGTTATTCAGTCCTGAGGCTTGAAATAGAAAGAAGGTGATTGTTTCACACAGGGTTAAAAAATCTACAGCCTCGGTCTGCTCACCGCCCACAACTACTTTTGTGTGTTTCATCGGAACACAAGAGTGTGTTGGTGTCCACCAGGAAGCTCGTTACCACATGGAAAGTAAAAGAAATGTGTTACATCTTCTGCAGGGGTTTTGTTGTTTGGCTTTGTAACATAGAGAACTTACATTTCATATTCATCATCACCACATTTCAATTAGCGATTGTTGAAAAAAAAGTTGTGTTATTATGCAAATCAGTTATTTAAAATCTGCAAATAAAGAATTAAAATAAGAGAGAATCCTTGGAAGGTCAGCCTACATTTCTTTCCCTATTTGATGAGAATGTGTTTAGTCAGGCAGTGGCGGTTTTTATCTAAATAAAGGATGAAGCTACCCTTTTACTTTGTAAAAACTAATTAAAGGAATTTTAATTTGCCTGAGTATATGGTAAATTGATTGTCATTAAGTAGGAATTTAGATGTCCTATCATTCATCACTTAAAAATAAACCTCCTTTTTCTTTGTCAGAATTTCTTATTAGAATAGAGAAGCAAAACAATTAACAAAAAGCCAGATCGGAGATATCTGTGTTAGAACAATAAGACTGCTCTGGCTTATATTTAAGAAGGAAGCTGTATGATCAGTGAAGAACTGGGCTCCTTCTCTTTTGGCTATTTTGAAAATGCTTACCTTGTCTTTTAGCAACTCCCTTCAACAGAGTATCCCAAATCACTATCCCCAAATGCTGAGTTTCTCTTCTTTTGCTTGGTTATTAAGGAGTTGGGAAGAACATATTAAAGGACTGGAAAGTTCTTAAGGCATTATATTCTTTTCCTCTAAAGCAATTGAAGTAGCACTTATTAATAGTTATTTAGTTAGAATATAAGAAGATTACCCAGAAACTTTGACCATACAAGGAAGTGAAACACTAATCTTCAATTTCTATAGTGGATGTCCATCTGCAGTGGTAGATCGAAACCTGGGATCTGTCTGGTCACTCTGATCCCATGTTACAGATACTTAGGACTTAATTAGCACAACCCTCAGTAAACTGGGTTCAGTGAGCACCTGCCTTTTAATTAGTGGGCATATCTGGGTTTCAGCAAGATGTAGGGCAGAGTGTTTATATGTAGCTTGTTAGGATAAACTCGTCTGTTTATGGCTCCAATTCTACCTCTTAGAGTTGGAGTGACCCTAAATGGTATGAGAGCAAGTACTCCCTATAAGGAATATTCTAGAGATGAGGGCCCCTGAAGACCACACTATTTATATTGGTGGAAACAAATAAGAGCCAGTCATGGAAGGAAAAACGCAGAGAGGAAAGATTCCAGGCCAGGCTGAAAGCAAGCCAAAGCGTTTCATGGAAGGGGTGAAAGGGTCTTGAGAGACGCTTCACCCTCTTTAGAGGTTGTGAGGAGGATCTAAGGCTCTTGGTGTTTGAGAGCATCAAATGGGCTTCTTTGCATCACAATTAGTTAGTGATGTAAAAAGTTAGAGATTTTCTAGGGATGTATCAGGATGGATAACAGGATGTCTAGCATATGCTGTCAACTTCTAGCTGCCAATGATCACTGAGTACCATTGAGAAGGGCAGTTTTTGTCCAGGATTATATGGAAGTTGCAATAAATCTGGTTTGTCCTTGGAGTTACTTGAAAATGACATGTATTTCTTCACTGAAAAACTTCCATGATGGAATTAGCCTCTCATGGTGAGTAAATGTGAAGGAGTGGTGTGAAAGTTTGAGGCAGATGCCATTGTAAACGTAAGATGCTGATTTAAATGCCTAAAAATATGCACATCGTTGGGATTGCTATTTTGTACTAACATTCTCTAAATCAGGCTGTTCTAAATGAAGGAATTCATTTTAGATGTGCCTGAAAGAAAAATTTGAGTAGGTACCACATTCATCGTTC